CTCTTGTTCTTCTTTATTTCTTCTATTGTCCATGGGGAAGTGGAAAAGAATCTTTCCTCCGTAAGCCATGCGTGTCGTATGAGGCGACTAAAATGCCGGGAGCAATGGGCTAGTAACCCCTTCTCCTGTAGACATTTACTAAAAAAGAGAAGAAGAAAAACTTTATAAAACTGGGATGCTTGAATGTGCGTGGATGTAGTGCGGATGACAAGAAACAGATGATTGCTGATGTTATGAATGAAAAGAAGTTGGATGTCCTGGCCCTAAGCGAAACAAACCTGAAGGGGGTAGGGGAGTTTCAGTGGGGGGAAATAAATGGGATTAAATCTGGAGTATCTGAGAGGGTTAGAGCAAAGGAAGGGGTAGCAGTAATGTTGAAGGATCAGTTATGGAATGAGAAAAGAGAATATGAATGTGTAAATTCAAGAATTATGTGGATTAAAGTAAAGGTTGGATGTGAAAAGTGGGTCATAATAAGCGTGTATGCACCTGGAGAAGAGAGGAATGCAGAGGAGAGAGAGAGATTCTGGGAGATGTTAAGTGAATGTATAGGAGCCTTTGAACCAAGTGAGAGAGTAATTGTGGTAGGGGACCTGAATGCTAAGTAGGAGAAACTTTTAGAGAGGGTGTGGTAGGTAAGTTTGGGGTGCCAGGTGTAAATGATAATGGGAGCCCTTTGATTGAACTTTGTATAGAAAGGGGTTTAGTTATAGGTAATACATATTTTAAGAAAAAGAGGATAGATAAGTATACAAGATATGATGTAGGGAGAAATGACAGAAGTTTGTTGGATTATGTATTGGTAGATAAAAGACTGTTGAGTAGACTTCAGGATGTACATGTTTATAGAGGGGCCACAGATATATCAGATCACTTTCTAGTTGTAGCTACACTGAGAGTAAAAGGTAGATGGGATACAAGGAGAATAGAAGCATCAGGGAAGAGAGAGGTGAAGGTTTATAAACTAAAAGAGGAGGCAGTTAGGGTAAGATATAAACAGCTATTGGAGGATAGATGGGCTAGTGAGAGCATAGGCAATGGGGTCGAATAGGTATGGGGTAGGTTTAAAAATGTAATGTTAGAGTGTTCAGCAGAATTTGTGGTTACAGGAAAGTGGGTGTGGGAGGAAAGAGGAGCGATTGGTGGAATGATGATGTAAAGAGAGTAGTAAGGGAGAAAAAGTTAGCATATGAGAAGTTTTTACAAAGTAGAAGTGATGCAAGGAGGGAAGAGTATATGGAGAAAAAGAGAGAGGTTAAGAGAGTGGTGAAGCAATGTAAAAAGAGAGTAAATGAGAGAGTGGGTGAGATGTTATCAACAAATTTTGTTGAAAATAAGAAAAAGTTTTGGAGTGAGATTAACAAGTTAAGGAAGCCTAGAGAACAAATGGATTTGTCAGTTAAAAATAGGAGAGTAGAGTTATTAAATGGAGAGTTAGAGGTATTGGGAAGATGGAGGGAATATTTTGAGGAATTGTTAAATGTTGATGAAGATAGGGAAGCTGTGATTTCGTGTATAGGGCAAGGAGGAATAACATCTTGTAGGAGTGAGGATAGGGGGGCAATGTGGCAGATGTTGCAGGTGTATGGTACAGGAGGTAGGTTACTGAAAGCAGTGAAGAGTTTTTACGAGGATAGTGAGGCTCAAGTTAGAGTATGCAGGAAAGAGGGAAATTATTTCCCAGTAAAAGTAGGCCTTAGACAAGGATGTGTGATGTCACCGTGGTTGTTTAATATATTTATAGATGGGGTTGTAAGAGAAGTAAATGCGAGGGTCTTGGCAAGAGGCGTGGAGTTAAAAGATAAAGAATCACACACAAAGTGGGAGTTGTCACAGTTGCTCTTTGCTGATGACACTGTGCTCTTGGGAGATTCTGAAGAGAAGTTGCAGAGATTGGTGGATGAATTTGGTAGGGTGTGCAAAAGAAGAAAATTAAAAGTGAATACAGGAAAGAGTAAGGTTATGAGGATAACAAAAAGATTAGGTGATGAAAGATTGGATATCAGATTGGAGGGAGAGAGTATGGAGGAGGTGAATGTATTCAGATATTTGGGAGTGGACGTGTCAGCGGATGGGTCTATGAAAGATGAGGTGAATGATGGTGAAAGTTTTTCTTTTTCGGGCCACCCTGCCTTGGTGGGAATCGGCCAGTGTGATAATAAAAAAAATAATAATAATAGATAGTTTTTTGTCTCCACATATACCTGAATGCACCACTCACCTTTTTTCCTTCATCAATTCTATGGTTAACCTCATCCTTCATATATCCATCCGCTGACATGTCAACTCCCAAATATCTGAAAACATTCACTTCTTCCATATGCCTCCTCTCCAATCTGATATCCAATTTTTCTTTATCTAAATCATTTGATACCCTCATCACCTTACCCTTTTCTATGTTCACTTTCAACTTTCTACTTTTACACACTCTCCCAAACTCATCCACAAACCTTTGCAACTTTTCTTTAGAATCTCCCATAAGCACAGTATCATCAGCAAAAAGTAACTGTGTCAATTCCCATTTTGTATTTGATTCCCCATAATTTAATTCCACCCTTCTCCCCAACACCCTAGCATTAACTTCTTTTACAACCCCATCTATAAATATATTAAACAACCATGGTGACATTACACATCCCTAAGACCCACCTTTACCGGGAAGTAGTCTCCCTCTCTTCTACACACCTTAACCTGAGCCTCACTATCATCAGCAAATAACTGCATATAATAATATTTGACTGAGTGTAAATAATAACATGTCCTTTTACAAGATGAATTACTAATACTGTATTGTTGTTGTAACCATTATAATTTACATGAAATGCTAAGCCAGTATGGATCATTCAAATGCAGGGAGTGGTCAAGACCCATGTCTCCATCCACCAAACACAGATGTTGCAGAATCTCTCCTTGAATTCTTAATTGAAATTGACTTAATACACTAACTATGACTTCCTCCTTTCATACTTATATCAACCCTCCACACCTCTGCCCCTTAACATAAGTACCCCTTTGCCATTTCTTCAAGGATGGAGGGAAGGGTACCATGAAAATAAAAATATTATGACTAAAATTCCTTTATTTTACACTCAGAATACCAAATCATTTAGATTTTATTGTACAATTCATGTGAAGTGTACAATAAAATCTAGTATACAGATAGGTAATTACAACACCCAGTTCCCTGGATGTTGTAATTACTTATTTGAATATGCAGAAGGCAAGAACAATCTTGAGTTCTGGAGATGTCGTGCCTTCACTCTAATGAAGGGGATTGGGATATTTGTTGTTAGAGGGATATCTATCTGTGTGCCTCTGGCAAAATGGTGATAATATGACTGATGGTCAGTTTCTTTTTAAGTCACCCTGCCTTGGTGGGAAACGGCCAGTGTGTTAAAAACAATAATCAATGTACCGTCACTTAACTGACTGACATAACTGATTCTTATGGTGGTGGTGACATTTTGATCAGTAAATAGAATATGTATAAGTAAGATAAGTGTTTCCTGACACTGGTCTCAGTCATATGAAGAAATGCTAATTAGAGATTGTGGTCACACAACAAGCACCTGCTAGCTTACAGGGGCAGCTCATCGAAAATTAAAGATCACATCATGTGATATTTATTTTTGAACCCCTGAATGCAGTTCACTCCTTGTATCATTGTAGCTTATTCGACTTGTTTACCATTTATTCATTGAAGAAACATTTCCTAATATCTCTCATCTGGGTGTTTAATTTCAAACTTTTATTCTTGCTGTATTCTTGGTAAAGCACACATTCTTGTCTTTCCTATCTACCTATTATTTCATGGTGTGATCATATTCCCTAGTTTATTTTTTGTTTTGAAGCTTATTTTCTTCAGCTCAGGTACCAAATATGGTACCTGAGTCTCAGGTACTCAGGTTTCACTGTTTAATAGAGTGTAGGCTCCATGCCAGCACATTAGTCTGAAACAGATATTAGGTCTAAAATTTCTAAATGCCACTGATGTTAGCAAGCTTGGCCTATGCTGCTGGTGTTATTGTTTGTATATTGCTCAGGAGACAGATTTGGCAGAAATAATTATTCTAAGGTCTTTTTTAAGCTGTTTCTGTGATAATATTCTTCTTATGGTTTCCTTAACACATTTAGCTTCATAACTTTGTTTTAACCAGGATTAAATTCCAGTAACTATTTCATGAGATGAAAATCAGAGACGCCCAATTAGTGATCAATGAAACTAATTTCCGCAGATGCAAGTGCCTCGAATCAGCACTAATCGCTGTTTCGAATACAATTAAACAAAACAACGGCAGCTTCACCATCTCCGAAGTCTTAGCAAGAATCCTCCTGAAAACAGTAAACCCTGCCATCACATAGTCTCTCCTGTTATACTACACAAAGCACATTACAGAGAGTGAACACTGAAACAAGCTGCCTCTTTCCAGTCTATATTTGTCCAACCTATTTTTATGTTACCCAAGTAATAGCTTTTATATCCTTTTACTCATGTACGAATTAATTGCTCTACCATATTGTATTACTTTTGTCACTACTACTACTACTACCACTAGTGAACATCGAAATGGTACCTCACTAGCATTGCACCTCACTCTGAGTCTATATATACCCTCTGTGTCCATGTATTGTTTGTAATGACTTGACAAAGCTCCTGGAGAGCGAAACGTTGCCACAATAAATGTCACATTAGTTGTACTTGTGTCCTTTTACTTTACAGTGTGTTAATAAAAAAAAAAAAAAAACCTGCCTTGGTGGGATACAGCTGGTTTGTTGAAAAAAAAAGACAAAAAAAAAAAAATAAATAAAAACAATAAATTGGATAATGAAAGAGTGGAAGCAGCCTATGTAGAGGTTCTACACAAAAAAGCTATGACACAATTTCACATCAGTTGGTTGGAAACTACACAGCAGAGTCAAGAATTAGATCTCTCTCTCCACAACCCCAGTTATTTAAATACCATACACAGAAAATTAGGTAAGAAATAATAATAACTATATCTATAATATTAAAATATGTTTATTAAAAAAAGTCATTCATTTTGAGAACTTACATTTCAATCCTTGCATACTGTACAAGTAACTTCAATAAGTGTCTTTAACAACATAAAATATCAAGTTTAACTTATCTTTCCTCAGTAATCTAAACATACAGTTTAAGGTACTATACTATCTATAATCATAGGGTTTTCCAACATTTATACTCGCTGGCATAAATGCAATTAAAACATCGCTAATTAAATATAAAAAATGCACATTATGCTCCTCAGACTTACCTAAGTCTCTGAGATCACTTGGAAATCTTCCTAAATGATGTACACTAGGACAAGTCATGCAACATTTACAACTTAGCAATACAAATACATGACCATTATTAACTATCAGCTTTCATGCCAACAAATCTCTTACAATAGACTCTCACATGTGGTATATGCATAAAAAACAGGTAGTTGTAACTTTGAGGCATATGATTTTCTTACATTTACATAGTATGCACACAAGTATTGATAAGGGGTGGAGGGAGGAGAAGGAATGGAGGGATAAGGAGAGGAGGGTAGGAATATACTTATTGTATTTTCTCAGAGCTCCACCAGTAAGGTAATGGTTATTACATACAGTAAACCCTCTATTTAACAGACTAATTAGGGGAAGCAGGTGGCCAGTAATGGCAATTGTAGTGTATCAAAAATTTTTATACTTTGCAGTGATTGTAACAATAATTAAAAACTGTGACCAAAGGACTTTGTCTAATGTTCCCAAATCTATTAACCCAGTGGGTTTTCTTCCACGTTTCTGAAGTCCGTCAAAATGGAGGGTTTACCGCATAATCAAGATATGCTGATGAAATACTGCCTAAATATTCCCTGTGTAAGAGTCTATTGAAATTAAAATGCTTAAGCTGTTTCACAAGTGATATTTAATAATAAAAATTGATGTATATCTTAAAAATATAATAAATATACATTTTGTACTTATAATAGTAATAGCATTGCATATTTTAACTCCCATGTCTTGTAGCTTGAGAAAGATAAATCAAATTTATTTACAAAATAAAGAAAACATTTCGCCCTGTCTCGGTAGGAGATGGCCAGAGTGTTTTTAAAAAAATTTCTGGCTGATTGTTTCATTTTTTTCACCAAAATGGTTTTAATAAATTTCTTAATGGATCTCTCTTATATACACAAGTTACCGGGATACACCAGTTGGTCTTTCTGAGCATTGCACTTTCCAAGGCTAGCAGGTACATGTGATTATCTGAACAATTTAAACTTTTCACTACCATTACTTTATCTGTACATGAAGGTGATGGATAGTAAGCTATTCATATGAAGGTGATGAACAAAGACTGATTTTTAATGCTAATGAAGACAAGAATGAAAAAATGTTTGAGCAAGTTTGAAATCTGGAAATTACTAGTGAATGAAATTGGTGACATTTCTATACCAATCATGTATGCCACAGTCAAACATTGAAAGGGAAGAACAAAAAGGCACAATACCATGACTGGAACAATACACAAATAACCCACACATAGGAAAGAAGCTTACAACTACGTTTCAGTCCGACTTGGACCAGGTTGGACCGTAACATCACCATAAGCTTCTCTCTCCTATGTGTGAGATATCCGAGTATTCAAAGGGAAGAGATAAAAGGAAAAGTTTTGCTATGCACAGTTTTCACATTCACATTATTTGTGTGCATGATCAATGTGATACAATATAGCAAAGAATTAAAAGGCACAATACCATGAGTGGCTCAATACACAGATAACCTGCACTTCGGACTGACATTCTGGTCAGACTTGGACCATTAACTAGTCATGTCATAAATTTAAGTCTCCAAAGTATGGGTTATTTCTGTATTGCAGTACAGTTATAGGACAAAAGAATCACTCCAGCCCATTTAAGCTATATAGGCAGATAAATAATATTTAAACTTATTCATTGTAAAATATAAACACAAAGTTGGCATAAATCAGTCAAGTACCGTATACATGCATACCGCATTTTCTGGCATATAAGGCGTACTTATCTCCCCCATAAAAAAGTCTTGGAAAATCAGCCTGTGCCTTATATGCTAGAAAATATGGTAGCAAGTGTATTTGTTTTACTTTGGTCATGACTTGCAAAGGTAATATATGTTTTTTTTTTTTTAATTTTTTCATGACTATCAACACTTTTATTTTAAGGAAAATAATTTAACTTCCATAAAAAATCTGTCCATCACACAGACGAACATCTTTGATCATTGACTTATTGTTCAAGTCTGAGACACAGTGTGTCATATAAACAAAAATATTTACCATAATTTTATTTTTAAGTCACGTCAGCATTGCTAGAACAATTCACTACTAACCCACAAATTAGAAATAAAATGTATGACAATTTGATTTATCCTGAACCAAATGTCATATTTAATTTTCATTTCTAATTTGTGGGCCAACTGTGAATTTACCATACTTACAATACTTGTTTGTCTATGAGGACGAAAGTCAGTCTCAGGGGAACTAAAATATCTTTGGTATAAGACGGTATTTGACGCGCTCAGTGTAGCTGTTCCAGGCTGTTCCATATTTCTTCTTGCATACACTCTCCACCTCAAAGATTCTTCCCACCAAGAAGAGAACATCAATGCCCACCAATATCCAAGGCAACGCATGTCTGAAGCCTGAAAATTAAGACAGTTACCAGAACACATTAGCACTTTGATGATGATGATGATAATTAACGAGCTGTTGGAGTGTGAGCAGGGTAATAATATTTTGTGAAGGAATTCAGGGAAACTGGTTAGCTGGACTTGAGTCCTGGAAATGGGAAGTACAATGCTGACGTGTTAAAAAAATCTGTGCTGAAAGAAAATTTGAAACACAGGATAAAACAGATGTAAAAGAACAACTTACCACAGAGAAGACCCCAAGAGATAAATGTCAGGAGGTCTCCAAGATAGTTGGGATGTCGCAGAAAACCCCACCACCCAGACACTAAAAGTCTTGTCCCTGCTGGGGTCGGTAGACTCTCTAAATCTGAGGAATTAAAAAACACTAATTAATAAAAAATATTCATTCTACCTCAAGATACAACTCACCACGTTTTGAAAATACTTTGTGCTTCATAACCAGAGCTATCAAAATAGATGAAGTTTTTTAAACTAAGTTTTTCAAGATTTTCTCCCAAACTAATTTAGTAACCTAATTTATGTTTATTACAATTTATAGTTGATATAGGTAGTAGGTTGGTAGACAGCAACCACCCAGGGAGGTACTACCGTCCTGCCAAGTGAGTGTAAAACGAAAGCCTGTAATTGTTTTACATGATGGTAGGATTGCTGGTGTCTTTTGTCTGTCTCATAAATATGCAAGATTACAGGTACGTCTTGCTACTTCTACTTACACTTAGGTCACACTACACATACATGTACATGTTTATTTATACACACTCATCTGAGTTTTCTTTGATTTTATCTTAATAGTTCTTGGTCTTATTAATTTTCCTTTTATATCCATGGGGAAGTGGAATAAGAATCTTTCCTCCGTAAGCCATGCGTGTTGTAAAAGTCAACTAAAATGCCGGGGACAATGGGCTAGTAACCCCTTTTCCTGTAAAGATTACTAAAAAGAATAAGAAGAAGAAAATTGTCAAAGTGGGAAATCTGAATGTGCGTGGATGTTGTGCAAATGATAAGAAAGAGATGATTGTGGATGTTATGAATGAGAAGAAACTGGATGTCCTGGCTTTAAGTGAAACAAAGCTGAAGGGGGTGGGAGAGTTTCAATGGAGAGGAATAAATGGGATTAGGTCAGGGGTTTTCAAATAGAGTTAGAGCTAAAGAAGGAGTAGCAATAATGTTGAAGGATAAGCTATGGCAGGAAAAGAGGGACTACAAATGCATAAATTCAAGGATTATGTGGAGTAAAATAAAGATTGGATGTGAAAAGTGGGTTATAGTAAGCGTATATGCACCTGGAGAAGAGAGAAGTGTAGAGGAGAGAGAGAGATTCTGGAAATGTTGAGTGAATGCGTGGGGAGTTTTGAATCAAGTGTGAGAGTAATGGTGGTTGGGGATTTCAATGCTAAAGTGGGTAAAAGTGTTATGGAGGGAGTAGTAGGTAAATTTGGGGTGCCAGGGGTAAATGTAAAATGGGGAGCCTTTAATTGAGCTATGCATAGAAAGAAATTTGGTAATAAGTAATACATATTTTATGAAAAAAGGATAAAATAAATATACAAGGTATGATGTAGCACGTAATGAAAGTAGTTTGTTAGATTATGTTATTGGTGGATAAAAGGTTGATGGTAGGCTCCAGGATGTACATGTTTATAGAGGGCAACTGATATATCAGATCATTATTTAGTTGTAGCTACAGTTAGAATAAGAGGTAGATGGGAAAAGAGGAAGGTGGCAACAACAAGTAAGAGGGAGATGAAAGTGTATAAATAAGGGAGGAGGAAGTTCGGGCGAGATATAAGCGACTATTGGCAGAAAGGTGGGCTAGTGCAAAGATGAGTAGTGGGGGGTTGAAGAGGGTTGGAATAGTTTTAAAAATGCAGTATTAGAATGTGGGGCAGAAGTTTTGTGGTTATAGGAGGGTGGGAGCAGGAGGAAAGAGGAGTGATTGGTGGAATGATGAAGTAAAGGGTGTGATAAAAGAGAAAAAGGTAGCTTACGAGAGGTTTTTACAAAGCAGAAGTGTTATAAGAAGAGCAGAGTATATGGAGAGTAAAAGAAAGGTGAAGAGAGTGGTGAGAGAGTGCAAAAGGAGAGCAGATGAAAGAGTGGGAGAGGCACTGTCAAGAAATTTTAATGAAAATAAGAAAAAATTTTGGAGTGAGTTAAACAAGTTAAGAAAGCCTAGGGAAAGTATGGATTTGTCCGTTAAAAACAGAGTAGGGGAGTTAGTAGATGGGGAGAGGGAGGTATTAGGTAGATGGCGAGAATATTTTGAGGAACTTTTAAATGTTGAGGAAGAAAGGGAGGCGGTAATTTCATGCACTGGCCAGGGAGGTATACCATCTTTTAGGTGAAGAAGAGCAGAATGTAAGTGTGGTGGAGGTACGTGAGGCATTACGTAGAATGAAAGGGGGTAAAGCAGCTGGAACTGATGGGATCATGACAGAAATGTTAAAAGCAGGGGGGAATATAGTGTTGGAGTGGTTGGTACTTTTGTTTAATAAATGTATGAAAGAGGGGAAGGTACCTAGGGATTGGCGGAGAGCATGTATAGTCCCTTTATATAAAGGGAAAGGGGACAAAAGAGATTGTAAAAATTATAGAGGAATAAGTTTACTGAGTATACCAGGAAAAGTAATACGGTAGAGTTATAATTGAAAGAATTAGAGGTAAGACAGAATGTAGAATTGCGGATGAGCAAGGAGGCTTCAGAGTGGGTAGGGGATGTGTAGATCAAGTGTTTACATTGAAGCATATATGTGAACAGTATTTAGATAAAGGTAGGGAAGTTTTTATTGCATTTATGGATTTAGAAAAGGCATATGATAGAGTGGATAGAGGAGCAATGTGGCAGATGTTGCAAGTTTATGGAATAGGTGGTAAGTTACTAAATGCTGTAAAGAGCTTTTATGAGGATAGTGAGGCTCAGGTTAGGGTGTGTAGAAGAGAGGGAGAATACTTCCCGGTAAAAGTAGGTCTTAGACAGGGATGTGTAATGTCACCATGGTTGTTTAATATATTTATAGATGGGGTTGTAAAAGAAGTAAATGCTAGGGTGTTCGGGAGAGGGGTGGGATTAAATTATGGGGAATCAAATTCAAAATGGGAATTGACACAGTACTTTTTGCTGATGATACTGTGCTTATGGGAGATTCTAAAGAAAAAATTGCAAAGGTTAGTGGATGAGTTTGAGAATGTGTGTAAAGGTAGAAAGTTGAAAGTGAACATAGAAAAGAGTAAGGTGATGAGGGTATCAAATGATTTAGATAAAGAAAAATTGGATATCAAATTGGGGAGAGGAGTATGGAAGAAGTGAATGTTTTCAGATACTTGGGAGTTGACGTGTCGGCGGATGGATTTATGAAGGATGAGGTTAATCATAGAATTGATGAGGGAAAAAAAGTTGAGTGGTGCGTTGAGGTATATGTGGAGTCAAAAAACGTTATCTATGGAGGCAAAGAAGGGAATGTATGAAAGTATAGTAGTACCAACACTCTTATATGGATGTGAAGCTTGGGTGGTAAATGCAGCAGCGAGGAGACGGTTGGAGGCAGTGGAGATGTCCTGTCTAAGGGCAATGTGTGGTGTAAATATTATGCAGAAAATTCGGAGTGTGGAAATTAGGAGAAGGTGTGGAGTTAATAAAAGCATTAGTCAGAGGGCAGAAGAGGGGTTGTTGAGGTGGTTTGGTCATTTAGAGAGAATGGATCAAAGTAGAATGACATGGAAAGCATATAAATCTATAGGGGAAGGAAAGAGGGGTAGGGGTCGTCCTCGAAAGGGTTGGAAAGAGGGGGTAAAGGAGGTTTTGTGGGCGAGGGGCTTGGACTTCCAGCAAGCGTGCATGAGCGTGTTAGATAGGAGTGAATGGAGACGAATGATACTTGGGACCTGACGATCTGTTGGAGTGTGAGCAGGGTAATATTTAGTGAAGGGATTCAGGGAAACCTGTTATTTTCTTATAGTCGGACTTGAGTCCTGGAAATGGGAAGTACAATGCCTGCACTTTAAAGGAGGGGTTTGGGATATTGGCAGTTTGGAGGGATATGTTGTGTATCTTTATACGTATATGCTTCTAAACTGTTGTATTCTGAGCACCTCTGCAAAAGCAGTAATAATGTGTGAGTGTGGTGAAAGTGTTGAATGATGATGAAAGTATTTTCTTTTTGGGGATTTTCTTTCTTTTTTGGGTCACCCTGCCTCGGTGGGAGACGACCAACGTGTTGAAAAAAAAAAAAAAAAAAATAATTGAATCCTGCCTCACCTATCTAAGGATAGCATAAACTTTTTTTTTTTTAACACGTCAGCTGTCTCCCACCGAGGCAGGTGACCCAAAAAAGAAACACTTTCACCATCATTCACACATAATCACTGTATATTTATACTCAATAAAATATACAATGGAAGTGGAAAAGTCTTTCCTCCGTAAGCCATATGTGTTGTAAGAGGTGAGGGGCTAGTAACCCCTTCCCCTGTATAAATTACTAAATGTAAAAAGAAAAACTTTTGTTTTTCCTCTAAGGCCACCACCCTGCCACGGTGGGAGACAACCGGTGTATTAAAAAAAAAAAAAAAACTTTTCTGGTTTCAAAATTTGCATACTCACAGGCCAAGGCTGGGTCTGATGGATTAGAACGGAAAGAATGCTTCTGGGAGTTGGAGCCGCGAAGGATGGTGTAACCCACCAGGTTGAGCGCAACAATCAAGGACAGGTAATACCATTCAAGTTCAGTCCTGGAAAACATCAGATTGTTACTGTGCTGTCAGTCACATAGAAAGCAGACTGATCTCAGGAATTATAGCTATCCTATAATCACTTGAAACTTTTGCAAAATATGAAAACTATGAAAATGGGACATTACATGTATAGCTCAAATTCTCTAAACACAAATATGTAATGAGTAATCACAGGAAGATCTATGCCTATTTACTGATCTGATACAAGAGCACCTTAAAGCTAGTGAACGTCTCTTTATCCAAGAAATTGGAAATACCCTTTCCTTACTTGGATCAAACCAGATTACTTTGCAATGGCCATGTACTATATGACCTCCTACAAGTTTAAGGCTCCCCCCTAATAAAAATAATAATAATTTGTGATTATTCTTAAAGTAGAGCATTATAATGTGATTATATATACAGTTCCTCATCAACACTAAAGTCTCTGCTGATTCTTAATCTTATTATTATAATCATGGGAAAGCACTAAACCCATTGGGGCCATACAGTACCTGAGAAATGGGACATAATCAGGAATGACTGAAGGATAAAGTACCTACATGTTGATAGCTACAACATACATACTCTGCTAGTTGTAGTACACAATTTCTAATTACAGCACCATCTTTCTAATTATAGTACCTGCATCTTGTTAATTGCAGTATACTGTACCAACATTATGCTAGGTGCCTATATTTGTTTTTCTTGCAAGTTATTATTGTGAGTACATCATGAACACGAAACAGTTTTCCTTAACTCTCTGCACTGGTGTAATTTTTTATTAACATTTTCACTTGTTTCACCCCAAAAACTGCCATAAGACAAAAATGTTGTACGATGTTGGGCTTTAAAAAATCATAGACCAAATAGCCAAACCCATGGGAAGCGGATTCTAAAATTAGCTGGTCGGTACTCTAACCATGCTACTAAACTGAGGAAATGTGATTCATCTAACTAAAAGGGGAGGAGTGGGTGGCCGGTAACGGCAACTGTGGTGGATGGAGAAGAGATTGTTTGCTGTGACAGGAGCAATAACAGAAAATTCCTTAACTACTGAACTCTGACTCACAAAATTGTAATGACATGATTGCAAACCATACCACAGGTGGGGAGAGAACCCACAGTCTGGAGTTTTATGACTCTCTGACCGCTGGTTCCATCTCTGCCCGTGGTATGGTTTACCGAACTTTGTCCATTCCTTTTGAACTGACTGACCTAGTAGATTTTGTTCCATATTTCCAAAGTCCATCACACAGGTCTGTTATATCAAGGGTTTACTGTATTTCTGTACACTAGTAAGGTTAGCAAAGCCCCCTGTAAAAACCTACATTTGTGGTCACAGTGGGCCCATGCTAGCCTTCCTTGTGTATAGTCAGCATAGTACACTGGTTAGAGCACTGGCCTGCTTTTTTTTCAGGACTAGCTTGCCTTGGGTTTGAATTATGCACATTCCTTGAGTGCTGTACAGTCGTGTTATCATGATTTCATGAGTCGCTGACAAAACTCGGTGCAATGTGTATTATCTTCTTGACAACTACAGTTAGTTCAGCTGCTTGGTATAATTTTTGTGTCTAGGTCAGAGGCACAGTCAATGATTGTTTAATTAAATATGTCTAAAATTTAGTTGCCATAGAATTACAGCTAGGTCTCAATTAGTGCGAATAATGAATCCAGTGAAGTGGTCACACTATTCAAATTATATATTATTTTTGTACACAATTTGAAGAGTTTGGGGGGTGGAACTAGCACCGATTAATTTAGCACTATATCAAAAATTGCACTAATGAAACTCATACTAATCAAGTCTTGGCTATAATTAATATATATACATGGTTTCTTTAATCAAGTACATTAGATTCAACATACAGTGCAGTAGTGTACTGCAGTTTTTGTTGCTTGTAAGTTTATTGTGCTGGTTCCATTTCATTCAACTTAGAAATCATGGCAGCGATTAAAATAAATTCATGAAAGCAACAAAACACAATGCCTACCCGTGGTTAAGAATAAATCTGGTAAAGACAGTAACGATGAAAGGCCCCGTCAGGTGTCCAAGGATGAATAAAAGGCCACATCCTTGGCGCATATAATCGTAAGTGGTAAAATAACTGTCTTCAAACCAAAGATAATCCACTGCATAGAATATCTGAAGAAAAAATACCATTGTATTAAAAAATGCTATTAAAAGCAAGCCATATTACTAAATTTGCCCATTTGGGTTAGCTACAACAATATTAAAAGAAAGAAATCTTACAGTGAAAGGTCTTTAAAGTTGATTTTGGATTGGAAAGTGTCTTAGGACTCTATTGGAAGAGCATGAGTACAGTATTTCTAGGTAAATGTGTATCTAGAACATTGTTGATCCAGTAAATGATAAATTACTAACTGGCTTTAATGGCAGATTTCTTTGTTATATTTTTGGATTTTTACATTTTTTTTTTTAATTCTTAGACTACTGTATTATAACCATTGTATGTTTTTGGCATGAAACAAACCCAGAATCGTATAGATCAATATCTATTCAGTTATTTACCATACAATAAATGATACATATACAGTCAGGCTTCACTTTACAGTGTTTTGCTAATGCAGTGGTTTTCAATTATACCCATTCTTTATTTATTTAGACTTTCTACAATAAATATATTCACCATTCACTATAAGGATCAAAACGTTTAGAGGTAAGAAATGTGTGTACTGTATATGCATATTTTAGGCCTAGCTTTATTGCTCACTTAATATATAATAGTACAAACATGTTATCAGGCTTGGAAAGCGAAAAAAGAGAGGTTTTTTAGCTATACGTACAGCAGTAGCTCAGAACCTAACCTGCCATATAAGCTGGGCCCTCCTGTATACAACATACAAATCTCCTTGCATCCCAAGAATAATAGATATTCTAAGAAATTGTTCACATCTTTTGATTCATGTGTATATAGTTGATCAACAGATCAAATGACAACACAATCACAATTTCCAGATTCTAAAGCAAATGCTAAAGTGGTGCCTCGGTATACGTCCTTAATCTGTTTCAGGACCTTCGACTTATACCAAACACGACGTATACCAAACAAATTTTCCCGTAAGAAATGTAAGGAAAACGATTAATCCATTCCATTGAAAAAAAATCCTATTGTCACTGACATACATATTATACATTGATGGGGTTGTATAAAATAATTGAAATACTGCTTAATACTAAAATATGTAATTTAAACACTGCTTAATACTAAAATACATACATAAATACAAAAGAATTAAATTAAATAAATGCAAATTTAACCTCACTTTACTTTGCTGGAAAGAGTCGAGTGCCTACTAGGATAGTGCTGAGAAGGGAGGAGGAAATGTTATTGTTTGAAAGGAGAGTTCCCTTTACGTCTCCGTCTCTTTTCCTTATTTGGACCTGATTGAAGCTCACCAGGTTTGACTTTTACTAAAAATCTGCCCAAAGAACTTTGCCTCTGCCTTCTCCTCAGGATGTTTCAGAAATGTGACACTATCTGATCATTCCAGACAATGCTATTACAGCTTGTTTGGGCTTTGTTGGAGTGGTACTTCTCTGCAAAGTTTTTGATGTCCATCCATTTGGCAAAGATTTCCTTGATTAATGAAGTAGGGATTTCCTCTATCTCCTCTTCCGGTACTGACGCTAGTGGACAGTCATGGCTTTGTCTTAAGAGAGGTAAACAAGGGTAGCAAAATGAGTCATGCAGTGTCGTGACTCATTTTGACCCATACAAGCTCTAGCACGCAAGCTGTATTCCAAACAAAGGTCGTATACCAAGCAAAAATTTTTGCATCCAAACAGGACATATACCAAGTTGGACTTATTCCAAAGCAAACGTATACCGAGGTACCACTGTATTTCAAGATTTTTCCCTTAAGAAAATTGGAATGTGTCACAGACAACGAGCAATTTAAATTTAGTTATTAATAGCACTTACTGTAGATATTATCTGTATATGACCAAAGTAGATATATGTATATTCTGTCTTTCTTTCAATGCACTGGCCGTATCCCACCGAGGCAGGGTGGCAAAAAAGGAAAAACAAAAGTTTCTTCTATTACATTTAGTAATATATACAGGAGAAAGGGTTACTAGCCCCTTGCTCCTGGCATTATAGTTGCCTCTTACAACATGCATGGTTTATGGAGGAAGAATTCTTTTCCACTTCCCCATGGAGAAAAGATATATATAATAAATTAGATTTACCTGTAGACCACAAGCTGTCAAGAGTGTGGGGCTGTATTGACCAGGATTTGCACGTAAATCCTTCATCACCACCAATACGTTGATCATGATCTGGCAAGAAATACTAATAATTAACTGATGAACCTGAGAATCTTCAGAATGTAAAGATTTACACATATGCTGATTATTCTCTAGTGATTAATATGCATAATGATTATTTATACCAAGAATTACTCTCAGTATTAATTATAAAACAAAACAAAAATTATAATGGGAGGAAGAGTAGAGGTGAGTACAGAACAGTAATTTTTTTTTTCTCCACATGCTGGCCATCTCCCACCGAGGCATGGTGACCCCCCCCCCACAAAAAAAAAAAAATCACCATCATTCACACATAATCACTGTCTTTCCAGACATGCAAATACAACAGTTGAGATGTCACTCCAAACAGTCAATATCCCAAACCCATCCTTTAAAGTGCAGACATTGCACTTCCCATCTCCAGGACTCTAAGTCCAGCTAACCAGTTTATATTATTCATTTTTCACCTAAGTAGGGTGACCAAAAAGATAAACACATTTACTTTCACTCAAAAGCCATTTCCAAAAACACATGTACATCACAAATGAAATGCTTCTCTAAACCACACCAGTCTACCCATTTATCAACCACTATATTTTTTTTTATTTGTTAACATATCGGCCATCTCCCACCAAGGCAGAGTGGCCCAAAAAAGAAAAACTTTCACCATCATTCACTCCATCACTGTCTTGACAGAGGCATGCTCACACTACAGTTATAAAACTGCAACATTAACACCCCTCCTTCAGAGTGCAGGCACTGTACTTCCCATTTTCAGGACTCAAGTCCGGCCTGTTGGTTTCCTTGAATCCCTTCATAAATGTTACCTTGCTTACACTCCAACAGCACGTCAAGTCCTAAAAAACATTTGTCTCCATTTGCTCCTATCTAACACGCTCATGCATGCGTGCTGGAAGTACAAGCCCCTCACACACAAAACCTCCTTTACCCCTTCCCTCCAACCTTTCCTAGGCTGACCCCTACCCTGCCTTCCCTCCACTACAGATTTATACACTCTCGAAGTCATTCTACTTTGTTCCACCCTCTCTACATGTCCGAACCACCTCAACAACCCCTCCTCAGCCCTCTGGAAAATAGTTTTGGTAATCCCACACCTCCTCCTGATTTCCAAATTACGAATTCTCTGCATTATATTCACACCACACATTGCCCTCAGACATGACATCTCCACTGCCTCCAGCCTTCTCCTTGTTGCACCATTCACCACCCATTTTTCACACCTATATAAGAGTGTTGGAACAACTATACTCTCATACATTCCCCTCTTTGCTTCCATGGACAAATTTCTTTGTCTCCACAGACTCCTATATATATAAAAGAGTAACTGCACATAAAATCAAACCCTAGAATCTACATGCTTTGTAATCTGGAGCGTGAGCAAATTATCATTTATGAAGGGAATTGGCCAAACCAGTTAGCCAGGCTTGAGTCCTGGAGGTGGTAAGTACAGTGCCTGCACTACAAAGGGGGTGGGGATATGTAGCAGTTTTTGAACTGTAGCATCAGCATGATTCTGGCAACAGTAATGGAGTGAGTGATGATGAAACTGTTTTTTCTTTTTTGAGTTACCCTACCTTGGTGGAAAATGGCAAATGTTTTAAAAAAAGAAAATTATAATGGAGACCACTTTGCCACTTTGCATATAGCTTCATTTATTTGTTTTCCCCTTAGTCTTTATAACTTGGCACACAACCCCAAAACTGAAAGAAATAACTAAATAATTTCATTCAGAATATGCTCGCTCTTTCTTATATAAGATAGACTGGAGCAATATTTAAAGACATACAATATGACTAAGAAAACATATACAAATAACTGAGACATATAAGACCTATCTCTGTGAATTACAGGGCTAAACTGCACTGTATCAGCATACACAAACACTCACCCAAGTAAGTAGAGCAACTCTGAAAAGTAAGAACTTTAGATCCAATGACCTAACAGCTGGGTTTAGCTCTCGGCCGGTGAAGAAATCGGGTAAGAACATTCCTGAATTTCCCACAGGGTTTTTGGCATCATCGGGAATATACCTAGCACGGATGTACACGGCAAGCGTTAGAACCATGCTAAGTGCCATGCTGGTGGCTAGAAGCTGACGGTACTTAGTGTACACTTGCAGTACATCATAACCAAAGTACATCAGACTGGACAACACTGCCACTGACACAAGCAAAGCAATGATCCCTGTAAAAATAAATCAAAATAGTTCTTAGCCTTCCTGAAAGTGGTAATACAGTGATGTAACTTAAAACAAAAAATATTAATGCACTTCATGATCAAATGTTTCCCTAAATCTAAGGAAGAAGAAAATAGATAAATAAGAAAAACTGCAGGAAGATAATTTACTAAAAGTTCTGTAAGGAAAAAACAGCTATTTTGACTGTGTACAGTAAATTGTTTAAAGGAATAATATAATGAATGTAATAATGCTTACCATTGCAATGTACAGTTGCTCCATTTTTGGGTTTCACCACCTTACCCAGGGGAATAAGGTAGAGCAAGAGTTGAGTTACCAGAAAGCCAGCAACCAGAGCAATGGACAATGGGTCATAGTAGACTTGAAATTTGCGAGGCATAACGGGCATCTCCATAACTGTGCATTTGTTCTGTTGAGAGAGACATGGTTTTATAATATAATTCAGTACACTATAATGATCTGAATGTTCAGGAAAAAAAAGTAAATAGGATTTCAATATTATTATGGGTGACTTCAGTGTTAGAACAGAAAAACAAGAATTGAGCAGTTTTCCAGCAAGTCAAGAAACATAACAATAGTCAGTAACATTAAGTGAGAAGATGCTTCCATTATGTATCAAACAAATTATAGGAATAAGAGAAAAACTTCCCAGTGGGCTATAGAAATGCTGATGCTACATCTACCCTTGCCCTGGGGTCACTTTGACTGCCACCTAACTTCTATTCCTTTTAGTTTCCTCAACACTGCCTTCACATTTGCAAAATTGAACTATTCAATGCTTATTATGCTGAAGGGTCTCCCCACTAATAATTTTTATTATTCAATTTTTTTGTCATGAAGCAAAAACCTCACTTTTTTCCATGTAATACACAAATGACAATATTTCACAGGTCAATTTCAATTAATATTTTACATTACATGAATAATGTAGCCAAGAAAAATAAGGTACATACATAGTTAGTAGATATTAATACTTCCGGTACGAAACTCATAGGGATTATACAGCACCTTGGAAATGTGAGGTAATTAAATCTGATCCAAGGAATGGGAGGACAGTTCCCATTACCTGGATCAAAATCTCATCATCAGCATCAAGGCACCCTATGTAACATGATTACACTGATAATTCAGAAAATGCACACATACCTTTGTACACATCTCTGTAAGAAATACTGGCATGGCAGTTATGATGAGAGTCAATATCAGAAACTTGACAGTGGCAAGTGATGGTATAAAGGCACAGATGCCAGATTTGATGCTTGAGCCTACACTGCAAGATATGCCACAGAGGCGGCTACCAAGGCTTTTCGGGGTTGGCTCTTTCTTAGAGGTGACAGTCCTCACATTGTTCATTTGACTGTTGTATTCAATCTGTAACACATACACGCAAGATTAATAAGTGAGTGGAAATACCAACTACAGGTGCTCCATGACTTACAATGGGGTTGTGTTCCAATGAACCCATCGTAAGTTGAAAATACAGTGGTACTGTGCATTAAATTTCGAACACCTTCCAACTCGAACAATTATGTAAGTGTATTTTTAGGGGTCTGAAACTGACTAATTTTTTTTTTTATTATCACACTGGCCGATTCCCACCAAGGCAGTGTGGCCCAAAAAAGAAAAACTTTCACCATCATTCACTCCATCACTGTCTTGCCAGAAGGGTGCTTTACACTACAGTTTTTAAACTGCAACATTAACACTCCTCCTTCAGAGTGCAGGCACTGTACTTCCCATCTCCAGGACTCAAGTCCGGCCTGCCGGTTTCCCTGAACCCCTTCATAAATGTTACTTTGCTCACACTCCAACAGCACGTCAAGTATTAAAAACCATTTGTCTCCACTCACTCCTATCAAACACGCTCACCCATGCCTGCTGGAAGTCCAAGCCCCTCGCACACAAAACCTCCTTTACCCCCTCCCTCCAACCTTTCCTAGGTCGACCCCTACCCCGCCTTCCTTCAACTACAGACTGATGCACTCTTGAAGTCATTCTGTTTCGCTCCATTCTCTCTACATGTCCGAACCACCTCAACAGCCCTTCCTCAGCCCTCTGGACAACAGTTTTGGTAATCCCGCACCTCCTCCTAACTTCCAAACTACGAATTCTCTGCATTATATTCACACCACACATTGCCCTCAGACATGACATCTCCACTGCCTCCAGCCTTCTCCTCGCTGCAACATTCATCACCCATGCTTCACACCCACATAAGAGCGTTGGTAAAACTATACTCTCATATATTCCCCTCTTTGCCTCCAAGGACAAAGTTCTTGGGCCTCCACAGACTCCTAAGTGCACCACTCACCCCTTTCCCCTCATCAATTCTATGATTCACCTCATCTTTCACAGACCCATCCGCTGACATGTCCACTCCCAAATATCTGAATACATTCACCTCCTCCATACTCTCTCCCTCCAATCTGATATCCAATCTTTCATCACCTAATCTTTTTGTTATCCTCATAACCTTACTCTTTCCTGTATTCACTTTTAATTTTCTTCTTTTGCATACCCTACCAAATTCATCCACCAATCTCTGCAACTTCTCTTCAGAATCTCCCAAGAGCACAGTGTCATCAGCAAAGAGCAACTGTGACAACTCCCACTTTGTGTGATTCTTTATCTTTTAACTCCACGCCTCTTGCCAAGACCCTCGCATTTACTTCTCTTACAACCCCATCTATAAATATATTAAACAACCACGGTGACATCACACATCCTTGTCTAAGGCCTACTTTTACTGGGAAATAATTTCCCTCTTTCCTACATACTCTAACTTGAGCCTCACTATCCTCGTAAAAACTCTTCACTGCTTTCAGTAACCTACCTCCTACACCATACACCTGCAACATCTGCCACATTGCCCCCCTTTCCACACTGTCATATGCCTTTTCCAAATCCATAAATGCCACAAACACCTCTTTAGCCTTATCTAAATACTGTTCACTTATATGTTTCACTGTAAACACCTGGTCAACACACCCCCTACCTTTCCTAAAGCCTCCTTGTTCATCTGCTATCCTATTTTCCGTCTTACTCTTAATTCTTTCAATAATAACTCTACCCGTCTTACTCTTAATTCTTTCAATAATAACTCTACCCGTCTTACTCTTAATTCTTTCAATAATAACTCTACCCGTCTTACTCTTAATTCTTTCAATAATAACTCTACCCGTCTTACTCTTAATTCTTTCAATAATAACTCTACCAAACACTTTACCAGGTATACTCAACAGACTTATCCCCCTATAATTTTTGCACTCTCTTTTGTCCCCTTTGCCTTTATACAAAGGAACTATGCATGCTCTGCCAATCCCTAGGCACCTTACCCTCTTCCATACATTTATTAAATAATTACACCAACCACTCCAAAACTATATCTCCACCTGCTTTTAACATTTCTATCTTTATCCCATCAATCCCGGCTGCCTTACCCCCTTTCATTTTACCTACTGCCTCACGAACTTCCCCCACACTCACAACTGGCTCTTCCTCACTCCTACAAGATGCTATTCCTCCTTGCCCTATACACAAAATCACAGCTTCTCTAACTTCATCAACATTTAACAATTCCTCAAAATATTCCCTCCATCTTCCCAATACCTCTAACTCTCCATTTAATAACTCTCCTCTCCTATTTTTAACTGACAAATCCATTTGTTCTCTAGGCTTCCTTAACTTGTTAATCTCACTCCAAAACGTTTTCTTATTTTCAACAAAATTTGTTGACAACATCTCACCCACTCTCTCATTTGCTCTCTTTTTACACTGCTTCACCACTCTCTTAACCTCTCTCTTTTTCTCCATATACTCTTCCCTCCTTGCATCACTTCTACTTTGTAAAAACTCATATGCTAACTTTTTCTCCCTTACTACTCTCTTTACATCATCATTCCACCCATCGCTCCTCTTCCCTCCCACACCCACTTTCCTGTAACCACAAACTTCTGCTGAACACTCTAACACTACATTTTTAAACCTACCCCATACCTCTTCGACCCCATTGCCTATGCTCTCATTAGCCCATCTATCCTCCAATAGCTGTTTATATCTTACCCTAACTGCCTCCTCTTTTCGGACTAATCTAATCTACACTATTCCTTATGGGAAGAAATTCGTTTGGTAACGGCACTCAAACAACCTTCTGGAACGAATTACGGCTGAAATTTGAGGTACCACTGTACATTAAGTTGAATATGAACATATGATAAATAAATAACTAATGTCACTGAATAAGTAAATAAACAAATAATTACTGTAACTAACTAAATACCAGAATTGAAAAGTAAATAAATAAATACAAGTTTATCTTATCAATAAAAGCACAGTACTGTAAACAAAAAAAAAAAAAAAAGCTTTACACCATCATTAAGTCTAAATATCATAACCTGAACCACCATGAAGTAAGGAACATCCATTATAAACCAAACTGCTCTCAATTTACTTATTTTAAATCGATAACATGCTAATTAGGATCAAATTACTTTTTTCTGTTAATTTAGCCTAAGGCTGTATGTATAAAGACTAAGTACTGTAGTACTATGCTTACAAACAAAACATTGTGCAAAGAACAAATAAATCTCTCGCTGATATGTAGAACAGTTCAGTAACACGAGTCAGCACAGCCCCAACTAACCTTCTCATTCGAGGAAACAATGCGGTGAGATTGCCAGATGGGTGAGGAGGTTCGCTGAACTGCCACATCAGCTCTAGAGAGACGAGTGAAGACATCTGTCCTGAGAACTTCATTTTTGCGTTCCACTTCATGCCTACGTTCCAGTATATTCTTGTGTTCCACATCATTCCTGCACTCAAGTAGTACATTCTTGTGTTCCATGTCATTCCAGCGTTCCAGTACATTCCTGGGCTCCACTATAGTCTTATGTTTCACTACAGGCTCTGGCTCAATGACTTTGATGATTTCTACTGCACGTTGAGCAGTTTTCGCTGGCGAAGGTTTTGGCTCTAATGTAGAACGACGACCTGGACTTTTTGTTTTGCTCGATCTCCCTCTACTACTAGATCTTCCACGACTCTTGGAACGTCTCCTGAATTCTGTCAGAGACTACAAGACAAAATCTGTGTTAAAATATTGTAGGCTTTAAGTAAACAAATGTATATTCATTTGACATAGTTAAATAAGATTGTTAACTAATTTAATATTCTACCATTCTGTCACCCTGTACAGACCAGCTTTTAAGGCCTAATTTGAGTCTTTCCAAGTCCCAATTTAGGCACACAAAATTGTTTACATTGTCTCTAGCCAATAGGGGAACTCAGTGTCATCCTCAAGTAACCAGTCAGATAGTACTAACTCTTTAAGAAGTGGAGTGAGGAATTGAGATGTGAAATAGTGTAGTTCTACAGTTCTGAGAAAGTGTTTCCATATTGTTCACAACTGCTTGAAATTAAGAATAATGACTGTTTGGACTCACTTTCAAAAACTTACAGAAAGTCAAAGATCAGTAAAAGTCAATTAAAAAATGCTTAGAATTAACCAATATACAGTGGACCCCCGACATTCGATGGCATCGACATACGATGCATTTTAACGCAAAAATTTTGCCTCGACATTCGATACGATTCGTACGAGACGTGTCCATGTGTGGCCTGAACTACCCCGTGTGTGCCAGTGTTTACAAATCAGCCAGTGTGTGCGCATCTAAAGATACATTCGGTACATTCCATATTATCCATATTATCACTGTTTTTGGTGCTTGTTTCTGCAAAATAAGCCACCATGGGCCCCAAGAAAGCTTGTAGTGCCAACCTTGTGGTAAAAAGGGTGAGAATTAGTATGGAAATTAAGAAAGATTTTGAAGGGTTTGGGGCTAACCCTGAGAAGCCTATGCCAGTTGTGGACTACATTGTGCCTACTTCAAAAATTAAGGAAATGTGTGCAAAGTGGGTTGAACTGCAAACCTTTATGGATGAAAATCACCCTAACACAGCTATTGCAAGCCGTGCTGGTGACTATTACAATGACAATGTTATGGCCCATTTTAGACAAATCTTAAAAAAAGATACACAAATAACCCACACATAAAAGAGAGAAGCTTACGACGACGTTTTGGTCTGACTTGGACCATTGACAAAGTCACACTAACCAGAAGTGGAGCAGGACGGCTATATATAGGCAGGAAGAGGTGGTGGTAGTAGTAGTAGTAGTAGTACAAGAATGGTATATAATACCGACAAGATGAAATTAAGACACGCGCAACACCCGGGCATCCCTATCGCAGACGTTTCGCCATCCAGCCAGCCACTGGATGGCGAAACGTCCACAACAAAGACAGCCAGACGCCGCACATGTGTCTTAATTTCATCAGTAGTTGTAGTAGTAGTAGTAGTAGTAGAAGAGGTAGTAGTAGTGGTAGTGGTAGAAGTGGGAAATAAGGAGGACGAGCCAGTCAAGTACAAAGGAAGGGGAGCACTGCAAGAGAGCTAGGTGCCCACTGAGGGAGAGCAAGCACACAGAGGTGCGTGAAAGGGAAAGTGGTGAAATAAAAGAAAAAGGAAAGAAAAAATGAGACAAAAGGAGAAAAGACAACCCCAAAGGGGAAAAGGGGAAAAGGAAAGGGGAAGAGGGAGAAGAAAAAAAAGAAAAAGAAAAGAAAAAATAGGGGTCAGGTTAAGTCACGGGTGTTCGAAGTTTTGGGGCATTTTTTAATGTTGGAGAGGAAAGGGATCTACGAGACGAAGCCAGGGCAAAGGGTTTATAAAGGAAAGTTGTGTATTAGAGAGGATTCAACTGCAGCGACAGTTTTGAGTTGGAAGTAGGGGAAGACAGTTTTGCAGAAAAACCAGCAATGGGGGGGCTATGATCTCTGAGGTGACAGAAAAAAGGTTGAGTGTCGGCAAGCCCAACACATTTTTTTGCTCCCCCAAGTCTTCAAAAGAGATCGACCCGTTTCTCTGAAGTATTGAAGAGGAAAGAGGAGCAAGAAATAGAGTAGACACCAGGAACATCTGTGGGGGAGGGAAAGGGATGAAGAGATTAGTGCGAAGAGTGTTAGTCAGGCGGAAGGTAAGCTTGATGTCTAAGGGACGGAGAGAATCGTTGAGATTAGAAAGACCGGAAAAGTAGGGAAGGCAGAGGATAGAAGAGTTCCCAGGAGTAGAGAGTTTGGGAGAGAAGAAATTGCATTTAGCACATGAGAGGGCAGAGTCTATGAAATGGGAAGGGTAGCCAAGACGGGAAAACGAATTATGAAGAGTGGAAATTTCTGCTGGAAGGAACTGAGGATCACAGATGCAGAGGGCATGGAGAAAGAGGGAGATAAGAACACTTTTCTTGACAGGGGAAGCATGATAGGAAAAGTAGTGAATGTACATGCCACTGTGCATAGGTTTTCGGTAAACGGAAAAGGAAAAACCTGTATCTGAGCTGTGGACATGGACATCAAGGAAAGGAAGCAAGGAATTAGATTCCTATTCAGCTTTAAACTTAATGGAAGGGGCAAGATTATTAAGAGCTTCAAGAAAAGGTTGGAAGAGACTGGAGTCATGAGGCCACAGAGCAAAGATGTCATCCACATAGCAGAGCCAGAGTGAAGGTTGCACATCGAGGGTAGGAAGAAGAACAGTCTCGAAGTATTCCATGTAAAGATTAGCATGGACAGGAGAGAGAGGAGAGCCCATAGCGACACCGAAGGTTTGAGAATATTTCCCTTGGAAGGAAAAGGAGTTAGAGTCCACACAGAGGCAGATAAGATCAAGAAAGACATCAGTAGGTATAGGGAGATGAAGAAACCCTTCATGGGCCTTCTCTCTAAGGAAATCAAGGACATCATCAAGAGGGACATTGGTGAAGAGGGACTCAACGTCAAGACTAAGCATCTTACAGGTTGGGAGAGAGCGAACCTGTTCAATGAAGTCTTGAGAGTGATGGAGGTGGGCAGGAGAAAAAGTACCAAGAAAGGGAGTGAGGGTTTTGGCCAGCCAAGAAGCAAGAGAATAAGAGACAGAACCTCTAGAGGATATGATAGGATGAAGAGGAATATCAGGTTTATGAGTTTTGGGAAGGCCATAGAAATAGGGAAGAGAGGGACAGATGACACGAAACCGTTGAACAAGGTCAAAGTCAGGAGGGCAGAGGTCGGAGAGAGTCCTTAGTTTTTTGTTGAAAGTTCTCTTGATGCGATCAAGAGGGTTGGAAACGAGAGGAGTGTAGGTACGTGAGTCAGAGAGCAAGACATCAGCTTTACGGAGGTAATCCTCGGGATCAAGGATAACTACCGAATTACCTTTGTCAGAAGATAGTATGACAATGTTAGTGTTGGTTTTAAGAGAAGAAAGGGCAAGTTGGTAACGGCGTGGAAGGTGGTGATTCTTAGAAAACAGACTAACAAGAGCAGGAAGGAGAGCGCCACGAAAAGTGGACAAGTCAGGAAGATTACGGGAGCGAGACTGACGAAAGGAATCAAAACCTATGCACAGTGGCATGTACATTCACTACTTTTCCTATCATGCTTCCCCTGTCAAGAAAAGTGTTCTTATCTCCCTCTTTCTCCGTGCCCTCCGCATCTGTGATCCTCAGTTCCATCCAGCAGAAATTTCCACTCTTCATAATTCGTTTTCCCGTCTTGGCTACCCTTCCCATTTCATAGACTCTGCCCTCTCATGTGCTAAATGCAATTTCTTCTCTCCCAAACTCTCTACTCCTGGGAACTCTTCTATCCTCTGCCTTCCCTACTTTTCCGGTCTTTCTAATCTCAACGATTCTCTCCATCCCTTAGACATCAAGCTTACCTTCCGCCAGACTAACACTCTTCGCACTAATCTCGTTCATACCTCTCCTCCCTCTACAGATGTTCCTGGTGTCTACTCAATTTCTTGCGCCTCCTGTCCTCTTCAATACTTCGGAGAAACTGGTCGATCTCTTTCTGACAGACTTAGGGAGCACAAAAATAGTGTTAGGCTTGCCGACACTAACAATGCTCTTTTCTGTCAAATCAGAGATCATAGCAATCCTATTGACTGGTCTTCTGCTAAAACTGTCTTCCCTACTTCCAACTCGAACAGTCGCCGTCTAGTTGAATCCTCTCTAATACACAACTTTCCTTGTATGAACCTTAGCCCTGGCTTCGTCTCTGTAGATGCCTTCCTCTCCCACTACATTATAAAATGCTCCAAACTTCAGAACACCCGTGACTTAACCTGAATCCTCATTTTTTCTTTTTCTTTTTCTTCTTCTCCCTCTTCCCCTTTCCTCTTTCCTTTTTTCTTCTGGGTTGTCTTTCTCTCTTCTGTCTCGTGTTTCTGTTCCTTCTTCATTTATTTCACCACTTCCCCTTTCACGCACCTCTGTGCGCTTGCTCTCCCTCAGTGGGCACCTAGCTCTCTTGCAGTGCTCCCCTTCCTTTGTATTTGACTGGCTCGTCCTCCTTATTTCCCACTTCTACCACTACCACTGCTACTACCTCTTCTACTACTACTACTACTACTACAACTACTGATGAAATTAAGACACATGTGCGGCGTCTGGCTGTCTTTGTTGTGGACGTTTCGCCATCCAGTGGCTGGCTGGATGGCGAAACGTCTGCGATAGGGATGCCCGGGTGTTGCGAGTGTCTTAATTTCATCTTGTCGGTATTATATACCATTCTTGTACTACTACTACTACTACTACTACCACCACCTCTTCCTGCCTATATATAGCCGTCCTGCTCCACTTCTGGTTAGTGTGACTTTGTCAATGGTCCAAGTCGGACCGAAACGTCGTCATAAGCTTCTCTCTTTTATGTGCGGGTTATTTGTGTATCGTTCCAGTCACGGTATTGTGCCTTTTTTTTTTTTGTTACTTAAAGGAACGGCGACAGAGGTCCAGTGACTCTCAAGCTGGTCCTAGTGGCATTAAAAGTAGAAGGGAAGTAACCCCGGAAAAGGACTTGCTACCTCAAGTCCTAATGGAAGGGGATTCCCCTTCTAAACAGTAACAACTTCGACACTCTCCCCTCCTCCCATCCCATCAATCATCACCAGATCTTCATTAAAGGTAAGTGTCAATTATTCTATTGTTATTGTAATTATTCTATTGCATTAAACTTAATATTTCATGTGGTAAAAATTTTTTTTTTCATACTTTTGGGTGTCTTGCATGGATTAATTTGATTTCCATTATTTCTTATGGGGAAAATTAATTCGACTTTCGATATTTTCGACATTCGATGAGCTCTCAGGAACGGATTAGTATCGAATGTTGGGGGTCCACTGTATAATATACTAGCAGAATATCCAAATCAATTTGTTATTTTAAGGAAATAGTGATACAGGGAAAAATTAAAAGAACTCCCTATACAGAACTATACTGAATATAGCAGTATAAGATCTGTCAGAGACCCCAATTTTATGGAGGAAGAGGAAGAAGAGGAGAAAGAGGACAATGAGGAGAGAGGAGGAAGAAGGGAAGAAGAGGGGGAAAAAAAAGAAGAAAATGTACTGAAGTGCCTGTACAAGCAGTATTTTGTATGTCTTCATAGTTTATGGATACACCATTCTCGACAGAGTTGAAAACTTAGGCCAGTTATTAATTTCGTTCTCTGAAGGCTGAAGGATTTGTGCTAATATCAGATGTATGAAACATTGAGTGGGTTAAACATATAAAAAATCTGTTTTTCTACTCTTTGCTCAGTGGATTGTTAAATAGACTCAAACTGTTCTTTCTTCTGGGATTATTTGCATTTTTGATGCTTTACTATATATATCTCCTTTAGGTAAAAGGTACAAGGCCTAGACTTATGAAATCCTCTATGTACAGCAAAAGATGCAAACAAGATTTTCTCTACTCTAAGTGTATCTTAAAAGCTAGTTCATGGTTCCAAAGACTGCTGCTCCATAATCTGATAATGCAGCGACTGTCAATTACAACCATTCTTCATTTATTCAGACTTCTTATAATAAATATATTCACCACTCACTATAAGCTAAGGATAAAAATCTTTTAAGGTAAGTACTGTATATGCATTTTTAAGACCTAGCTCTATTGTTCACCTAATATATGAGTGTAAACATGCTATCAGGGTTTTATGTGAATCTAAAAGTGAAAAAAGGTTATCTTTCACTTTACAGCAGTAGCCTGGAACCTAACTAGCTAGATAACAGGGGCTTTCCTGTATCCTGCTAATGATTCTGGGGATATCTGCCCCTACAGGCTGATCACACACCGGAAAAAATAAAAAGGAAAAATTACAGGAATAAGAATTATTAAGAAATCCAGGAAAGTAAAGATAAATGTACTGTGCATTAAATGCAAGTAGAAATTTGTATGTTTTACCTGTCATCTGTGATCATGAAACAGAAAGAAAAGACCAGTAATTCTGCCAGTGCAAAATACTGTACAATAATATTTAACAGGTTTCAGGTTCATGCTTAAATGACAAGATAGTATATACTGCATGACCTCCCTGGCTGCTTGCTATCTACCAACACTACATTTCCTACTAATATTACAAACACACATTTCCTACTAATGTTACCAACACATTACATTTCTTACTAATGTTACCAACACACTACATTTCTTACTAATGTTACCAACACATTACATTTCTTACTAATGTTACCAACACATTACATTTCTTACTAATGTTACCAACACATTACATTTCTTACTAATGTTACCAACACATTACATTTCTTACTAATGTTACCAACACACTACATTTCTTACTAATGTTACCAACACATTACATTTCCTACTAACCTACTGTGGTGCATCCCTGGGAGATATTAAAAATATTAAGGACATTACATTGTAGAACTGGAACTTACCTTGACATCCTTGTATTTGACGACATATTTAGATTTTGCGGTATCTTCAAAGCAAACCAGGTATTCAATATCATTTAAGTCAATAACTGTGCCTTCAAACCACAAGGATGACCCTGGCCAACGTGCCATGACACGATCAGTCTTTTTGAATTTTGACATTTTCTTTCT